TTCATTTTAAAAGAGACAGTGCTCCTTGGTTCTTGCCCCTGCTACTGCCAGTCACATAAAATCACAGGATCTTTCTGAAGGCAGTTAGATCATACATATCAAAAGTCTTCAAAATGTGCATGCATGGGCACATCTCTTAGCCCAGGAACTCCAGGACTTCCACTTCTAGGAAATGTATCCTAAGGAAATATTTGGACAAGTGAGCAGAGATTTAGGTACAAGGATGTTCACTACAGCACTGCTTAAAACAGCAAGGAACTGAAAACTGCCCAAGGAGCCCAAAATAAAAACAATCTAAATAAATCATAGCACACCCATACAATGGAATATTGTGCACCTATAAAAAAATAGTTGTGAAATATAATCATTAACATAGGAAGATAGTCATAATCTATTTCTGAGGATTTTTTGGTTTTGTTTGCCACAGAGTCTTGTTCTGTTGCCCAGGCTAGAGTACCATGGCGTCAGCCTAGCTCACAGCAACCTCAAACTCCTGGGCTCAAGCGATCCTCCTACCTCAGCCTCTCAAGTAGCTGGGACTACAGGCGCTCACTGCAATGCCCGGCTAATTTTTTCTATTTTTAGTAGAGACAGGGTCTCACTTTCTCAGGCTGGTCTCAAACTCCTGACCTCAAGTGATCCTCCCACCTCACCTCCCAGAGTGCTAGGACTACAGGCATAAGCCACCACGCCCAACCCTATTTCTGAGTTTTAGACAAGCTGTTATAACATATTTGCATGTCGATGCCATTTCAATCAAAAATCTTTATCAGTAAAGAAAAATGTGGAAGTGAATACATCAAGATGTTAACTAACACAGATTCACTATGGAGAATAATGCCACGGATGATTTTTTTTTTCTCTTTTGTATTTTCTGATTTTCCTAACAATATTCAATTACTGTGAGTTTTTTTTTTATTATGTATACATATTACTGTATTTGTTTGACTACATACAAAATATGCCTGGAAGACTATGCAAGGACCAGTGACCCTGGCTGCCGCTGGCAACAGGAGGTTGGTGGCTGAGGGCCAGGGCATTTGGAAGAAGATATTTCATTATGTACTTTTTTGTAGCCTTTGAATTTTGAATCATCTCAATTTAGTATCTTTCACAAATATAAACTAAATTTAAGTTTTGAAACAAAAAAAAATATTTAAAGGGCATCTTTGACATTTCACAAACCCCATTTTTATGCAACAGTGAACATGAAGAGATTTTTTTATATCAGAGTAACAAACTCAAATACCTACAGGGGTCAGGGAGATAAATGAGGGACAGAGCCCATGGAAGCAATAGGGAGTGGTGGGGACTGTCACAAGCTGGAAAGCAGAGGCCCTGTCTATGGCCAGTTAGACCCTGCAGGAAGTCTGCCAGCCCTTCCAATTTACCAATAAAAGCCTAACATCCAGACTTTCATATGCATTTCCTCATTTCAAAACAGGCCCCTCCCCACAAAAATGAGTCTACAGGCCAGGCACAGGCCAGTCTGCAATCCCTACATTACTGTGGAATATTCTTGATTAGAGCCTCAAAGAACATTAGGGAAAAGCAACTTGCCCAGAGTCAAACAGTGGTTACCACAGAGCTCAGACTAAAACCCAGCACCCCGACTCCAGTTTCTACCAGTAGCTAGCTAAGGAGGACTTGGAGAGAGCCAGGCGTTTACAGGGCTATCGGCCCCTTTTGGGGGCACCAGCATTTTAAAAGAGCAGGTCTGAACCTGCTCACTCAGACATTTTAAGAGTGTGAATGAAGGCCCAGCACAGCAGGGTAAGCTCTCCCCGCTGCCCTGAAAGAGCCAGCATCCCCGTAAGGCTGGCCCCGTCAGAGACCAAAGTCAAGGCTTAGAAGCAGGAGGCCAGACTAAAGACCCTGCACACTGGCCTCCAGCCTCCCCACCTCTCTGCCTGTGCCCACCCTACCTGCTTCCACCTCGCTGGCTCACACCCTGGCCAGTCTGCAACCCACTCACATCCACCTCCCACCTGCAGGCTCCCTGACCACACAGAGAAGAGGCAGGATTCAAACTCTGGCTCACTTCTCTAGGCTACTGCTCTTTCCACCCCTGCAGACTCTTTCCTCAGAGATACTTCCAGCCTCTGAGCCCCAGTCCCTTTACCCATGGACACCTCTGTCATAGGGTGGCGTGAGTTACAAAGGACGGGAGGTGAAGAAATTGAAGGTAAGACCATTTTTATCCACTACATTGGCAAAGGTTTTAAAATGGTAATACTCGGCACTTGTGAACATGTAATGAAATGGTCCACATTGGCTGGGCGCGGTGGCTCACGCCTGTAATCCTAGCACTCTGGGAGGCCGAGGCCGGCGGATTGCTCAAGGTCAGGAGTTCGAAACCAGCCTGAGCAAGAGCGAGACCCCGTCTCTACTAAAAATAGAAAGAAATTAATTGGCCAACTAACATATATATAGAAAAAATGAGCCAGGCATGGCAGTGCATGCCTGTAGTCCCAGCTACTTGGGAGGCTGAGACAGGAGGATCCCTTGAGCCCAGGAGTTTGAGGTTGTGTCAAAAGAAAGGAAGGAAAGAAGGAAGGAAGGAAGGAAGGAAGGAAGGAAGGAAGGAAGGAAGGAAGGAAGGAAGGAAGGAAGGAAATGGTCCTTTTTCACATCCTTAAATGAGATTCCCACGTTGAGTGCTCAGAAGGGTCCCTGCACATTGGAAGAGCTCAGTAAATCTCAATGACTACTTGGTGATGAAATGACCATACTCTACAAGTCGAATGATAAGGAGCAAATAAATAAATAAAAATTAAAAATAAATGACCACTGTGGCTCACGCCTGTAATCCTAGCTCTTGGGAGGCCGAGGCGGGCGGATTGCTCGAGGTCAGGAGTTCGAAACCAGCCTGAGCAAGAGCGAGACTACTAAAAATAGAAAGAAATTAATTGGCCAACTAACATATATATAGAAAAAATGAGCCAGGCATGGCAGTGCATGCCTGTAGTCCCAGCTACTTGGGAGGCTGAGACAGGAGGATCGAGCCCAGGAGTTTGAGGTTGCTGTGAGCTAGGCTGACGCCACGACACTCACTCTAGCCTGGGCAACAAAGCGAGACTCTGTCTCAAAAAAAAAAAGAAATAAATAAATGACCACACTCTTACATCTGTCACCCTGGGTGGAAGACAGTGGTGTCGTCATAGCTCACAGCAACCTTAAACTCCTAGGCTCAACCAATCCTCCTGGCTCAGCCTCTGGAGCCTCTGCAGTAGCTGGGACTACAGGTGCACCACATGCCTGCCTAATTTTTCTGGGGTCTCACTCTTGCTCAGGCTGATCTCAAACTCCTGAGCTCAGGCAATCCTTCCGCCTCATCTTCCCAGAGTGCTAGGATTACAGGCATGAGCCACCATGCCCAGCCTGTTAATTTTCCATAATAGTTCCTCCTTTTGACAAAAGGGGAAGCCTGGGACTATAAGGTGACTTGCTGAAGTCACACAGCTGGTAACACGGGGATCAGACTTGGCGATCTTTCCCCTTCTCTGCCTTCCTAGAGGACTTGTCTTGGGCCCCTCCCAGACCACCAGAATGGGACACAGTTGGGCAACCCTGTACCACCCAACTGCCCCTGACCCACTCCTCTGAGGCCCCGCCTGCATGGCTTTGCCCCGACTTCAGCATCTCTTGGGGCCCAGCTAAGATCCTCAGGCCTCCATGTACCTTCTCTTCCAAGAAGCAAACTTCAGGACAGGAGAGAAAGGTTCACTGTGAGATGGTCCCACAGCTCTGGGGAGAGAAGCTGCAGGAGGCGGCCAGGAGCCGGGAAGGGGGTGAGGGTGTTCAGGCAGGGCCTGGGGTGCGGGCTGTCAGGGCGCCCTCGCTATGTGGACAAAAGGTCCTGTGACCTAGGGTGCCCGCGAAGGTGCTCAGGCCACAACCGCACTATGGCCACAACCACGGAGCAAGGATCACACAGGGAGGAGTCTCGGGCACTCCCGGAGAGGGGGCCACACTCTGACTCCTGTGAGGGCCATAATGAGCAAGGCTACTCCCTTCACCTCTGTCCTTCATTGACCAAGCCAGGTGCACCTGATCTCCCTCTAGGACACACCCCTTCCCCTGCTCTCCACCCAATGAACTTCCAGAAGGAGAGTCCATCCAGATCTAAGCCAATCAGCACATTGCACTCCTGGCTACAGTGATTGGTTCAGGATGGACACATGACCTAAGTGGATCCAATCAGAGCACATGTCAGAGTTTGCCTGAAACTGCTAAAACAGACTATCACCAGATTGTCATATGCAGCCCCCACAAGCCTTTTAGTCCCTAGTACCAGTCTTGGGGCCATAAGGAGAGTCTCCAGACTGGCCCATTACCAAGAAAACAGAATAACAGGACTCAGGACTCAGTTTCCGAGTCTCCATCATATGTTTGAGTTCTGACACCACTGGACTGTGTGTGTTACTAAAGCCTAAAAAATCCTGTTTTGCTTAAGCAAGTTTAGCGTGGGTTTTCTATTACAGATGCCCGACATAACAAAGGTTCGACTTACTATTTTGCAACCTTACGATGGGTTTATGGGGACACAATCCCATAATAAGTAAAGAAGCTCCTTACAATTTTTGATGGGGTACTGTTTCTACTGAATGCCTACCGCTTTGGCACCATCCTCAAATCGAAAAATCTAAGTCCAGGCATTGTAAGTTGGGAACTTTCTGCTGTGCTGCCAGCATTAAATGCATATTCTACTTACAATGGGCTTATCAGGATGTAGCCCCATCAGAAACACAGGAGCACCTGTACTCACAACCAAAAGAATCCTAAATGATAAGTATACATGGTAGAGCTGTCCAGATGCACACCCAAGATGAGAGTTTGGCCCTCCTACTGCTCATGTCAAAAGCCAAGGACACAGGGTACCTTCTTATCCCAGAAAGGTCTGCCAGTCCCTCCCCTCTGAGGTCTCAGACTCCAGTGGCTGGCAGTCTGCCCAGGACCTCTCTCCAGACATCCACACCACGAACGGGCACACACACACATGCCACACACAGCACTGGGTGGACTTTTATTTTTAAGTCAAAGGCACAGCCTGGATGGGCTGAGGCAGCGACCACGGATGCCCAGCCCAGGCCCCCAAGGTCCCACCCCTAGCCAGGAACAGCTGTGCCAAAGGGGAGGGGGTGGGTGAGAAGGGGGGCCTCCCCTCTTAGGGGGTCGCCTACTTCTTTCCTCAGCCCCAATAGGGGAGAAGCAGGTGACATAATGTGAGGCAGAAATGCTTCAGGGGGTCCCTCAAGCCCTCTCCCTCAATCCCCCCAACACCGGTGTTTGGTGGACATAATTGCACAGACAGTCCATAAAGTGACAGCTTGATGGGTGCCCCCTCCCAGGAGCAGGACCTCAAGGGAGAATAGGGGAGGGGGGGTCCCAGTTTCTCCCTTGGCAACAGTGTTTAGAAATGGGGGGGGTCCTTCCCGTTGGAGCAGCCCCCTGGGAGGAGCCTTCTACCCAGATGAGGCAGTGGCTTAGGAGAGGGCCTCCCACGCCCCGCTCCGCAGCAGGCCCCCTCCTTCCCTGCATCTCTAACTCTATCTGGTAAGACATAAAAAATTCTCAGCTTATAAAAATACTTCTGCTCTGTCTGGGAGTAGGGTGGGAGGGGGAAGGACGATCCCTGGGGATCAGGGCGGAGCCGCTGGCAGAGGGCTGGGGGCAGTAAGCCGGGCTCCCAGGACACAGCCCCTATGGGGGAAGCGGGGATCACAGTGGCAGGGGCTAGGAGGGGGGCAGGGGGCCGTTGGCTCGGCGGGGGGTGCCCTTGGCGGTGGGCGCTGGCGAGCCGCGGCGGGAGGCGGTGGCGCTCCGCAGCTTCTGCTTCCGCCGCTTGGCCAGGGGCGCGTTCTCCACGCTCTTCAGGAAGAAGCCCTCGCGCTTGCCCCGGTTGAACGCCTGGTGGAAAGGAGCGGGTGAGTCCCCGGCCTAGCCCTGGCTTCCAGATCCTAGCTTTGGCTTCCATTCCTGGACCTTCCCCCCCCTCGACCCACCCCTCTAGGTCAAGGCCAACGGGCCCCTGGCCTCAGGCCTCCAGCCTACCGCAAGGTCAGGGCCCAGACCGACCAGAGGCCAGACTGCGTTCACCTCAAATTCAGGCCGGTAATGACGGCCCCACCCTTACCATGAAGGTGGCGTTGAGCCCTGAGCGCACTGCGGGCCCGGAGGACTCCAGCACGTCGGGCGTCCGGAGCGGAGGCGAGGAGCGCGCACTGCCGTCCTGCAGCCACGAGCTGCCCCGCAGCCCCTCGAGCTTCAGCCGCTTGGCGGGGTCAACAGTCAGGAGCCCTGGGGGCAGGGGGCGGAACCGTGGGGAGGAGCCTTGTGTGGAGCCTGCGCCGCAGCTAACAGCCCCACTCCCGTCCCCTACCCACCCCCCAACCGGGACCCAGGGAACGTCCCCATCCCAGCATAACCACATGACCACTGCTCCCCAACAGTGATCTGCGACCTGCAGCTCCGCACCTCGGACCAGCTCCTTGGCTTCCTCCGACACACCCTGCCAGGCCTCCCCGTCAAGAGAGAAGCGCCCCTCGCGGATCTTGCACATGATCTCGGCCGCCTGGCTCTGCCCGCCCTGGCCTGAGGCCCCCTGGAAGGGCACCTGCCCCGACAGCATCATGTACTAAGAAGGGGGGGCGGGGCGGGGAATGAGACCGGCCCAGGCCACAGGCTGAGCCCGACCCCTCAGCACGCCCACAGAACCATCCAGCCTCTCCTCTAGGGTACCTCCTGAGACCCGCGGGTGACGAACCCTGACTTCCAACCCCTACTACACGGTGCCGCGACCCCGGCACGAGCAACCCTGCCTCTGTATTAGGATGGCCCCTGATCCACCCTCAGCCCAAACCCTTCCTCCCCCACCGACATGACTGCTGTCTCCTTCCTCGGGCTTCTCCGCATCTGGAAGACCTCTGACCCCAGGCCCAGGCGACCCTGCACCCTCCTCGAGGAGCGCGTCCCATACCAGAATGACGCCCAGGCTCCAGAGGTCGCAGGACTCGTCGTAGCCCTGCTGCGCCAGCAGCTCGGGGGCCGCGTACTGCAGCGTGAAGCAGGGCGTCTGCATGGGCCTCCCGGGGCTCTGCGGCCGCAGCCGCGCGAACCCGAAGTCGATGATCTTCACCGGGGCCCCGGGCGTGTCGTCGGCGTACAGGATGTTCTGTGAGGGCGGCGGGGCTGTGGTCAGAGGCGGGCCCGGCGCCGCAGCCCCGCCCCGCCCGGGGCCCTGCGCCCACCTCGGGCTTGAGGTCGCGGTGCACGACGCCCGCCTCCTCGTGCATGAAGCTCACGGCCGACACGAGGCTGCGCAGGATCTGGCTCGCCTCCGACTCGCTGAAGTGCCGCTTCTTGCGGATGTGCTCCAGCAGCTCGCCGCCCCGCAGCAGCTCCAGCACTAGGTAGGTGTGCAGCTGTGCGGGGCACCCGGGCGCGGTCAGCACGCGCCGCGCCGGGCCGGCCCCGCCCGCCAGCCAGGCCCCGCCCCGTCCTCGGGCGCCGCCCCTGTTCGAGCCGGACCTCCAGACCACCCCGAAAGCCACGCTTAGGCGCCACCTCAGGGTCTCGGGACCTACCCCACTGCCTTCAGAGCCGCCCTCCCCCGCCCCCGCTCCTTGAGGACCACCTTAAAACTCTGCCACCGCAAACCCTACCCCTGCATGCCCTCCCCAAATGCCGTTTCCTTGGCCATCCTCAGCTCCTCAGCCTTCCAGCCCTCAGGCCCTACTCCCCTGAAATCCCACCTACAGGCTCTCTGGTTCCCTCCGGGCCCACCTGGGACCCCCTCCCCCCCCCTTGGTGCCCTCAGGCCCCGCCTCCGGGCCCTCTTCTCCGCCCACCTCCCCGCCTCTGGCGTCCCTGCGTTCCAGCCTGTTCGGAAGGCGTCACCTGGTCGTGGTGCACCTCGTGCAGAGTCACCACGTTGGGGTGCGACTGGCACAGGCGCAGGGCGGCCACTTCCCGCTGCGTGTTCGCCTCCAGCCTGGGGGCGGGGCAGGCGGGGTTAGGGTGGCCTACCTCTAGCTCCGCCCCCGGACGCAGCCCTGCCGGTCCCCGCCCGCCCCGGCCCTTATTAGGTCTCGGCCTGCCCACCTGCGACTGAGGATCTTGACGGCGAACTCCTGGCCGCTCTGGCGCTGGCGACAGCGGCGACACACGGAGAAGCTGCCCTGGCCCAGCGCGGGCTCCCGCAGGTCCAGCTCGTACTGCTGGAAGAAGGGCGAGTCCTGGAGGCGAAGACAAAGGGCAGTCAGAGGTCCCTCCCGGGAGACACGCAGCTGCGCCACGCCCGCCTCGGTGAGGCTCTGACCTCACCGAGATCACACCGCAGTCGCTGGCTGACACGGGCTCAGAGTCTGCCAAAACCCGTCTCACTCCACCTGGGTCAGCCCACCTGCATCATGGCGCTCCTGGCCACCGCGGCCCGACCTGGGCGGTCTTCAGCGCCAGGCGCTTCCAGAACATCGGTCATCACCGCATTATTGTGGTCAAACAGGATGGACGGTGCCACGAAGGAGTATCCCTGCGAGGGGTGAGAGGCAAGGGTGGATGGGCATGGGGGCTGGGGGTGCAGGTGAGAAGTCCCTGCAAGGCCCAGACCTAGGGGCAGGGGCAGGGCGAGACTCTTGGACAAGGGGGCGGCGGGGATGTTCCCGTTGCATCCTGCTGCACGGGATGTGTGGACCCATTTTTTCCCACCTTGTTTTATAATACTTGGAGCCATATCTGTCCCCCAATCAGTCTGTAACCCCGCCTTTCTCATCACAGTGACCACCTAGTTCCTCCCCCTCCCAGGTGTCAAGGCCCAGAAAATGATGGGCCCAATGCAGGACTGTGGCCTGGCTCCACGCTAAGTTTACGAGAATTAAGCTCTATCCTCTAAGGAAAAAACTCCAAAAAACTCTGCTTCTGCAAGGGCAGCTACAGAGGAAACGCAGAGGAACCAGAGTTGATTATTTGCTTTTCCTAAAGATCCATGTCCTGGCAATCTAAGGGGCTTTCAAGGATAATTTTAACTGTATGTCACTGTCTCCTAAAAATGTAGTCCTGCTGTACCCTAGATTACAAGCTCCACGTTGGTGGGATTTTTGTCTGTTAGGTTCACTGATATGTCCCCAGTGCCAAGATCAGTGCCTGACACGTTGCAGGCACTAAGTACACATTTTTGGTTTTGTTTATTTATTTTTTTTTTTTTGAGACAGAGTCTCGCTTTGTTGTCCAGGCTAGAGTGAGTGCTGTGGCGTCAGCCTAGCTCACAGCAACCTCAAATTCCTGGGCTCCAGCAATCCTCCTGCCTCAGCCTCCCGAATAGCTGGGACTACAAGCATGCACCACCATGCTCAGCTACTTTTTTCTATATCTATTAGTTGGCCAATTAATTTGTTTCTATTTATAGTAGAGACAGGGTCTTGCTCTTCCTCAAGCTGGTTTTGAACTCCTGACCTCGAGCAATCCGCCCGCCTCGGCCTCCCAGAGTGCTAGGATTACAGGCGTGAGCCACCGCGCCCAGCCACGCATGAACAATATTAACGAGGGAGTGCAGTGTTTTTTTGTTTTTTTTCTTTTGAGACAGAGTCTCACTTTTGTTGCCCGGGCTAGAGTGCTGTGGCGTCAGCCTCCCGAGCAGCAATCCTCCTGCCTCAGCCTCAAGAGGAGCTGGGACTACAGGCATGCGCCACCATGCTCGGTTAATTTTTTCTATATATATTAGTTGGGCAATTAATTTCTTTCTATTTATAGTAGAGACGGGGTCTCGCTCTTGTTCAGGCTAGTTTTGAACTCCTGACCTCGAGCAATCCCCCTGCCTCGGCCACCCAGAGTGCTAGGATTACAGGCTTGGGCCACCATACCTGGCCCACATTTTTTTAATCATTAAATGAGTGAATGGAAGTAAACACCTACTCAGACAAAAGAACTTTCCCACTAGGACTGTAAGACAATGGAACGAGGGATGTTCAAGCATGGAGTTGTCAATTTGTCTCACTCTGTTGCCCAGATCTGAAGTATAATAGCCCAATCATAGCTCACCGTAACCTAGAACTCCTGGGCTCAAGCAATCCTCCTGCCTCAGCCTCCTGAGTAGCTGAGACTACAGATACATGCCACCATCCTCAGCTAGTTTTTTAATTTTTTGTAGAGAGATGGGGTCTCCTGTGTTGCCCAAGCTGGTCTTTAACTTCTGGCTTCAAGCAATCCTCCCTCCTCAGCCTCCCAAAGTTCTGGGATTGTAATAATCGTCAATTCTAAGAGCTTCACAGAGGGGACTGATCCATCTATACTTGATATTGATCTATTCTCATTTAATATTTATAGACCATGTTCTACAGGTCAGGCCCTCACACTGGGCCTGGGGACACAGGAATTAAACACAGTCCCACCCCCTGGGGTCTTCCAGACCAGGGGAGACGGCCTCAGGATACAAGAAGACAAACTGCTCAGAAGAGGTGCTGTTCACAGAGGGCTGGTGCGCAAGAGCAAGGTGACCCAGGGGGCCAGGTGAGCGGCCAAGGAGGCCTAAAAGGTGAGTGGGAGCTTGCTGGGGGGCTACTATAGGGAAGGCATGCCAGGAAGGTGGGAACGGCATGTTCAGAGGTGTGTTCTGGAACCTCTGAGCACTTCGGTACTGCCCTCCAGAGAACCAGGTAGGATAACAGCACTGGTACCGAGCAAGGACCGCATCACACAGGGCTGAGCAAAGGAATTTGGACTTGCAAGGCAGACCTAGGCTTCTAAAATTGGGTGGAGGGGGCCTGTGTCCCTAGGAATGTGATGTGCTATGCCAACGACAGGCAAAGCCACAGTATAAACATGGCATCTCTTCCTAGATGTCCACTTAAGCAAGAGTCTCATTTAAAACAATATTTTTGAATAGAAAAGATAATGGAATAAAGGGAAATTAACACAAAGTTTAAAGATAAACCACAAACCATCAAACACATGTCCTGCCCTGATGGTCTCTGTGCGGACAGTACCAGGTGCCCTACAAGGGGAGAGGTCTGGGGGAGAGGCTGAGTCCTGCTCAGGAAACGGGGCCTGTGCCGTGCCACGGGTCAGCCAGGGCTGAGGTAGCAACGGCATCCTGTCTGTCCTGCGTCTGGGGTTCCATGAGTTCTCACTCACCTGAAAGATGCGAGGGTCCCCAGACGGGGGGCTGCCAGGGGGTGAGTAGACAGGCTCCAGCCGAGTAAATTCCTCTGCAAAGTTGCTCACATCCAGCTCCGAGCGGATCTGGGGCTGGAATGGGGCTGGAATCTTCCTGGCAGCCAGAGCAGCCCAATCCAGACCCTGGGGAAAAGGAATCAGAGATTAGGTGTCAAAGGGCAGGAACCAGAAGCCCCATTCCACTCAGGCCACCCTCACTAGGCAGCTCCTCAGCAAGGCAGGGGCTTGGCTGGCATCTGGGGTGTACAACTGTTCTCTCTGCTGCCCCAGCTTCCATTTGCCACCTTCTGTTATCAGAACTCCTGTTCCCCTTGGAGGACCACCATTCCTCCACACTTGTCAGTTCTGGAACTTTTAATAGAATTAGTGTGAAAACAAACAAATCTCTTTCTCCTACTGGACTTAAATCTGAGAGGGTATGAGTCTGGATGTGCCAGGGACCCTCTCAGGGTCTAATAATGTCCCTATGCAGAAAAGCAGAACCAAGAGACAGTTTTAGCACCTAGATGCAGCCTTGCCTGAAGTCAGGCCACTTTTCCTTGGACTTTTCACTTACAGCACTTAAAATATGCCCTTTTATGTTTAAGCTAGTAAATATAAAAGTGGCATGACCTGTTAATTGCCTGCCTAATATCCATTCTCTGTCTTTTCTCCCTGTCTTACTTAGTACAATAGCCCCAGTTTCATTCCAGGAACCAATACACAATTAAAGGACTATATTACAAACTTCCAGCCGGGCATGGTGGCTCATGCCTCTAATCCTAGCACTCTGGGAGGCCGAATAGGGAAGATTGCTCAAGGTCAGAAGTTTGAGACCAGCCTCAGCAAGAGCGAGACCCTGTCTCTACTAAAAATAGAAAAAATAGCCAGGCATGGTGATGCATGCCTGTAGTCCCAGCTACTTGGGAGGCTGAGGCAGGAGGATCGCTTGAGCCCAGGAGTTTGAGGTTGCTGTGAGCTAGGCTGATGCCACGGCACTCTAGCCCGGGTGACAGAGCAAGACTGTCTCAAAAAAAAAAAAAGATTATTAGAAACTTCCTTGCAGTTAGGAATTACCAATAATTTGTCAGTAAGAACTGTCAGGTAGGACTCCAGGAAAAGCTCCTTAAGAGGAAGGTGTGTAGTTGGCAGGTGCCCTTTCTGTCCTGCTCCGTCTTCCTCCTGCCTGCTGCCTGGGGAGCAGCCTAGATGGCAAGAGTCCAGCAGCCACTTTGAACCACAAAGCAACCCTGGGGATGGAGGCTGCATGCTAAGAATGAAGGAATATTTTTTTAAAAAAAGAGAAAGAGAGCTTGAATTCCTGAAGACACCGTGACACCATGATGACACCACAGCAGCCCTCTGGACTTCTTTTGTGTGAGAAAATAAAGAAACCTCTATCTTGCTCAGATCACTGTTCATTCTGACCTCTGTTGCAAGCAGCCAGACTCTATTTCAATGGGACCACCATTTTGAGTTGGGATTTTTTTGTCCCTTGCAGCCAGTTGGACTGACTAGGACTTGGAAGGCCCCAGTTCTGCCACCAGGGACCTCAGCCCTGCTGTCACCAAAGAGGCTGTCCAAGAGAAGGCAGAATGAAGGGAACACCCTTTGCAAGCGCCAGGCCTTGAAGACTTTGGGGCCTCTCCAGTATAACTGGTCAACCTACTCCAGCACCCAGCAGAGCGCCCAGCATGGGCGCAGGGCGGACCTGGGAAGTCGCTGCAAGAAACCGACACTGCTCGGCCACTTCTCCCTCACCCCTGCGCACACAGCACCCCCCACCCCTATAGGGACATCTTCACCTGGGAGACCTAGATTCCTGTCCGAGAGGCATCGGAGGAAGGCCTTTCCAGGCAGGTACTGCAGGAAGATGCAAGGAGATGGCACTCGTAGCACAGGTAACAGGATACCTGGCCCACAAATTGGGTGCTTTTGTTAGGATGTCAGACAAGTGGAAAATCTGACGCCCAAATGTAAACAGCAGAATGTAGCAGTAAAGAGTACCCCCAGTCCAGGGTCTGAAGCTGAGCCCCATCACTTCCTACTTGGGTGACCTTAGGTAAATGACTTAACTACTCAGAACATCAGCTTCCTCATCTATAAAGATGGGGATAATCAGAGCGGTTCTGAGGGCCACGTGAAATGCTATATAAGTCAGGGGTTCCCACCCTGTGGTGAGTTGTGTAATTATTTCGTTATATATTACAATGTAATAATAATAGAAATAAAGTGCATGATAAATATAATGCACTTGAATCATCCCAAAACCATCCCCCACCTCCCGGGTCCATGGAAAAATTGTCTTCCATGAAAATGGTCCCTAGTGCCAAAAAGGTTGGGGACCACTGATATAAGCGAAGGAGGTAGCCACTGTTACAGGTCCTGCTAGGCACTGCTGCTGGCCTCGCACGAGGAAGAACACACTCTGTGTTGCACTCTAACACGTGTGTGCTCTTAACAAGGGAATAAAAACCAACATGGCCTCGTCAACCATCCACCTGAATTAATGGCACACAGACTGTACAGGGACAAAGAACAAAATGCCTGGGTAGATGCAGAGAGCCCTAAGTGGGATTTTTAGTACTGATTTGGGCCAACAGGTGACCTACCTAGAGCCAAGACCCATCCCCAGCTGGAATGCACCATTTACTGTGCCATCCGGGGCAGGTCAGCTGCCTTCTCTGGGTCTAACAAAAAGGACTGATCCATCCGTTCTCAAGTCCCTGCTAGCCCGACAGTCAATGAACCTAGAATTCTTTCCTTCAGGAATGCACCTGCCAAGTCCCAGTGGGGATGGATGTGGAAATAAGCCTCAACTTATATACACACGCCTTCTTCATTTGGGGGGTTTCCCAGATAAAGTGAAACTGGCCAGGCTCAGACCCTCCCTCCGGTGTCTCCCAACCCAGAGCAGCAGTTCGACTTGAATGTGCACAGGGAGGTGTGGGGGTCCCGGCGTCAGCAGCCTCACCTGGAAGAAGGGGTGGTTCTTGACTTCTTGTGCCCCCTGGGGCCCCGCACCCAATCGCTTCTTGGGGTCCTTGCAAAGCAGCCGCTGCAGCAGGTCCTGCGCCACAGGCCCAATCCGGGGGGGGAAGGGAGGGGAGCACTTCAGGATCCGTCTGGGAGGATTGGGGGGGGGCGTCAGGGGCAGCGAGCCCTCCCCACAGCCCTGCCCAGGCAGGCCCTGCAGCCCCTTGGCCACCCTCCACCTCCAGACCTCCAGCCCTACTCACCGGGACACCTCGGCCTGCGTGTTCCTCTCGCCCTCCAGCGTGAAGGGTGAGGCCCCCGTCAGCAGCTCAAAGAGCAGGATGCCCAGGCTCCACCAGTCCACAGCCTGCGGAGGAGGACAGGGGGTGAGGGTGTGGCCTCACCCACCTCCCCACCTCTACTTCCACCCCCACTTCCCCGCAAACCCACCTTGCCATGCCCCGCCTTGCTGCGGATAATTTCAGGGGCCATGTACTCGATGGTGCCACAGAAGGAGAAGGTCCGCTCTTTCTGGAGGGCAAGAGGACCTGTTTGGACATCCAAGCCTCTCTTGTGCCCCGGCGGCCCCCAAGGCCCAGGGTAGACTCGCTAGACTTGTGAGGTTGGGAGTGGAGTGGGGACTTCCTGGATCTACTCACTTCTGCACCCCCAGAACACAGGCGTGGAGCAGAAAGAGGCAGGAAGGAGAAGGCTTGAGTGGGACGTGGAGGCCAAGACTGCTGCCACTCACCTCCTCCGTCAGGAACTCTTTGCTCAGCCCAAAGTCCGTGAGGACGACGTGGCCCTCCGAGTCCAGCAGCACGTTCTCCAGCTTCAGGTCTCGGTAGATGATGCCAAGCTGGCGGGGCGAGAGGGACACTGAGGCTTCCTCCCTAGGACCCTCCCCAGCTCCTGCAGCTCGTGTCCCTGCTCAGGATAAGGAGAAGAGCCCCCTGAAGAAGGTCACCTGCCTGCAGAGGGTCGGTGTCCAGGGCAGAGCTGGGCCATTGGAGAAGAAAGGCCATTTAAGACATAAAGCGAGGAACGAGGGCCCCACGGACCGGCCCCAAGGTCCCAGAGCGAGGAAACTGTGTGAAGAGCCCCATTTCAAGGAGGCCTTGGGAGCCAAGGCGCGAGTTCTCCATTTGAGGAAGTTCTGTGAACTCAGCCGAGTTCCCCGTGAGGAAAAAGCCCGCCAGGCAGCGCTGAGGCTTCCTGCCCAGAGTCCTGGGGAAGCAGCTCCAGCCCCACCGAGAGCAGCACCTGCGCCAGGGAGCCCAGAGACAGACCCAGGCTGCCATGCGTTTAGGCCCCTTATAAAGCCCAGACCCATATAAGGACTAGCACACAGAATAATGAGGCAAAGAAGTAAAATAATTAATTTAAAAAGTAAAATTATATTTTTAAAAATTAAAAAAATTAAAAAAAAAAAAAAAAAGCCCAGACCCAGGTCCTCACCTACCTTGTGCAGGTGTTCCAGAGCCAGCACGATCTCACCCCCGTACACGCGCACCTCGGCCTCCTTGAAGTACTGGCGCTGGTAGAGATGGGTGAACATCTCGCCACCACTCACGTAGTCTGGGGGTGCAGTGGAGGTTAGAGAGCAGCCCCACAGGGTGGCCCCACCCCCTGCCATGCCCCCCACTGTGGGTAAGTGGTGTGCACTCACCCAGGATGAGGTGCAGCTTGGCATCTGTCTGGAAGGCATAGTGCAGTGTGACCAGGAAGGGTGCCTGGCGCACCAGCTCCAGCACTGAGCGCTCGGTGCGCGTGTGCTCCTGCGTCTTGGCACGCTGCACCAGCGCCGCCTTGCGCAGCACCTTCATGGCGTACAGCTTCCCGGAGTCGTGCCCGCCCGCCTTCCGCACCAGGAACACTTTCCCGTAGGCTGTGGGAGCAGCGGGTGGGCGGAGGGTGGGCTGTGAGCAGGAGGGTGGTGCAGACTAGGGGGTGCAGGCGATGCCAACCCAGGAGGGTGTGCAATTTGGGGGAAGAAGCAGGGGCGAGAGGCAGGTGTGCAAAAAGCTGGCACAGCCTTATAAGGAAAAGGTGTGCACACCCCGGGAGGGTGCTCCACAACCAGAGAAGGGGTGTGCAAACCCAGCTAGGGAGCATGCAACTCCAGGAGGCCTGCAGCGAGGGGTGGGGGTGGGGCATGTGCAAACCTGCGAAAGATCAGATGGATGTGAAAGGATGCAAATGCAAGGAAAGAAGGCAGAGGTGTGCCCAGGCCAGCGGAGGGACGTGCACACCAGGCCTGGGGAGTTTGAAAAACGTGGGAGGGGGCTCTCATATTCGGAGAAGGGGAGGAGCTGTGTAAATCACTTGGAAGGGGTGCAAACCCCCAGGTGTGTTGGCACACCCAGGGAGGGGGCATGCACGCCCAGGACCTTGCAGGGAGGAATGATGTCAGCGTGGAGTGCCCTGGAAGTGGGCATGCAAACCCTGGCTAGGCAGGGCGGGGCAGGCAAGGCAGGCTTTGACGGGAAAGGGTGGGGGGCCTTCCCAGTGGCCTGGCCCAGGCTCAGGCGAGTGAGCAGACAGGAGGCCCAGGGCTCAGGGCCTGGGACACATGCCCGGTGGACGGGGGTCCTCACCTCCCGTGCCCAGCACCTTGAGCAGCTCGAAGTTCTCCACGCTCACCTTCTCCTCATGCCCGGTCAGGTTGGCTGCGGGCACACAGGGTGAATGAGCCCAGCCAGCCCATGACCCTTCCCGCCCGCCCGGGGCAGCCGTCAGGGGTTCCACACCCACCTTCTGTGATCCACAGCTCCACCGCACAGCCCTCTTCTTCGTCCTCGTCCCCCATGGCGGGCGGGTCGCTGGGGCCCGCGCAGCTCGGGCTCCGGGCGGCGCCGGTTACATGGCGGCTTCGGCCGGGGCGGGCGCTTCCTGGTGCCGCCTCCGGGGCCGAGTCGGGCGCCGGCGCCGCCTCCCGGCTCCCCGCCCCGCGGCCTGAGTCAGGCGGCTGGAACGTGACAGCGCCGGGCTGCGGGTGGGCGCCGGCAGAGGAGGCCCTGTCCCTGGGCCCGGGGCGGCCGTCAGGGTGCGCTCCGGAACCCACCCACCCCCAGGCTCCGGGGGACTGGAAGTACCCCTCGGGAGCCATGCCTGCGACCGAGGACAACCTGGAGCCCCTGTTGGGCCAACGCCACCAAGCCAGGTGTCTGCCCCAGGACGCTGCTACAGCCAGTGGTGCCGTGGGTGCCCGCTCAGGCGTTTATAGAGCCCTCCCTTCCACCTGTGCCAGCCTGAGGGCAACCAAGCACCTTCTGTTCAATTCTCTTAGCCACCAGCCCAAGTTAGGGGTTTAATAAAAATCACAGCCCACCCACTTCGTTTTTGATCACTCCCTGACGGTACAAATAGGGAAGGAATTGGTATGTCCCCTTGACAGATGAGCAGCCGGAGGCCAGCGGCTGCCAGCACAGGCTCAGCCCGGCCGTGGCCACGTGCTTGGTGCTGGACAGGCTAAGGGGGGTGTGGATTCCATAAGTCACTCAGATCTCCGCAGTGGGGCCAGCCTGGCTGAACCCCTCTCCCCTGCGGACTTGCCTTTGTGGGGGGAGGAGCTTTATCACTGAGAGGAGGCTGGAGCCAAGCTGGACCAGGTGGCAGGGAGGAGTGGCTGATTTTCTGACCTCTAGTTCTCTCTAGAGGGAGCCTGCAAAAAGCACCTGAGACCCCAGCCACTGTTCGCAGCCCACCAGGTTCCATGCACACCTCATGCAGTTGTGCCCCAGCCCAGCCCCACTGGGGCAGTCCCCTCTCCCCATCAGGCCCAGAGCCCTGAGTGGGCCAGTCCTCCAGAGCCTCTGCCCCCTCCTCACCCTGCCTCCGCCTCCCTGCCCACTGACACAGGCACCACAAAGCAAGGCAGGGCAGCCATCAGAGCCCTCCCCCTGAGGCCTATGGGAGGGGGCTTGCAGTTGCTCTGCCAGCTGGAGGCAGGGGCTCCTCCCCCACTGACTGCCCTGCGAAGCTCTGGCATACAGGAGGCAGGAGTTAGACTGCAGCCCACAGTGGGGAGGCTGGACTGGCTGCCCCTCCCAGCTCTGCCCACCCCCAAATTCAGGCTGCAACATCAAAGCCCCAGGCAGCCCCACCCTCCCCTGGGCGGCTCCAGGTGTCCTGACTCACATCCTGCCAACCTGCCTAATTGCCCCTTCTCAGGCATCATGCTAGAAGCCCTGCTCAGAGAGCGGGTGTCCCTCCTACCTCTGTGGCAGCCCCTGGCACTAGGTGGTGCCCCACCAGGCCATGAACTCCCTGGGGAAGGGCTCAACCTCAAAGGGGTGGGAGAGAGGAAGAGGAGGCAGGAAGATATAAATGGAGAGAAGAGGGTGAGAGGGAGAGGGTGGGAGAGGGGCCATAGGGGCTTCACTGCCCCTCACCCCTGAGCCCAGACCTCAGACCCCACCCACCTCTGGCTGCCCAGAGTGCCAGTCCCCTCCCCACCCGCTGAGACATCCAGGCTTTGGCCAGCCCGCCTGGCCGAGGCCCTGAAGAAAGCCCCTTGCTGTGCTGTCCAGGCAGGGGCCCTCCAGCCAGACCCCCCGCCATCCAGGAGGGCTAGGCCACATGTGTTCTTCTGCCTCGAGACGCCCAGATGCAGACACAGAGCCCAACTCAGGTGGTTGTATCTCAGTTTTATTCTCATGTCCCTCACGTCCCAGCTAAGGCTCAGTTATCAGCCCAGGCCAGAGGCCCCGGGAATGAGCCCCAGCTCCCCACCTGGACTGGGCAGGGGGCTGTCTTGCCCCCTCCTGCCAGCCTCCTTCAGCTGGGGGATGCCCCAGAGACTGCCTCCCCTGCGGGGACCACATAGCCGAGCCTGAGCCCTGGCCTGGAGCCACTTGCGGAGGCCGGCCATCCCCTCTGCCCACAAATGTGTTGCAGCTCCCTTTCGGGGCCCCAGAGCTAGCCATGGGGGATGTAGCGGCCCAGGCCTCCTTGTCCAAGGACTCCCCTTGGGAGCACTGGCTCCCCGAGATCTTGGTCTGCCTGGAGCCCCCACTGGCACTCCAGCGGCGAGAGGTCTGCACTCCCAAGCTCCCTGTCCCCATGGTGTCACTGGCTGAGAGAAGGGGTGAGGGGACGTTTCTCCGGTTCCTGTACCTGGAGGCCTGCAAGGAAAGGCTTAGCTCAGGCCCACCTCCCTCAGGAGGACTCCTGGCTTTCAAGGTGGCCCACAGGCCTTTGTCCCTTCTGCCCACCCTCCACCCTCTCTCACTCCTCCTTTCCGGCTGCACCAGCTGCCTTCCCAGTGCTCCACCAAGCCAGGCCTTTCTTCAGCCGTCCCCTCTGCCAGGAATGCCATTCCCTCTGCCTGGAATGCTGTTCCACCTCTAAGGCAGACATGACAAACCTTGACCTCCAACCTGCTTCAACTTCGCTTCTTCTCTGGGGCTGACTCTGAACACCCTAGCCAAAATTGCAACCTGCCCGCCCAGAGCTCCTGACACTGCCCCCTCCACAGAGCATTAGCACCTCCTTGTGCTCTAGGGCCGGGCTGCCCAGTAGGAGGCTGAGCAGGTGGACCTTGGCTGGCCTGAACTTCAACGTGCTTTAAAGACCTATGGAAAAAATCGGCTGGGCGCAGTGGCTCACACCTATAATCCTAACACTCTGGGAGGCCGAGGGGGGCGGATCGCTCTAAGGTCAGGAGTTCGAAACCAGCCTGAGCAAGAGCTAGACCCCGTCTCTACTAAAAATAGCAAGAAAGTAATTGACCAGCTAAAAATATATATATACAAAAAATTAGCCGGGCATGGTGGTGCATGCCTGTAGTCCCAGCTACCTGGGAGGCTAAGGCAGGAGGATCATCTGAGCCTAAGAGTTTGAGGTTGCTGTGAGCTAGGCTGACGCCATGGCACTCTAGTCTAGGCAACAGAGTGAGACTCTGACTCAAAAAAAAAAAAAAAAGACTTATGGAAAAATCACATCCAATAGTTCATTCATGATATTTTACACTGACTACATGTTGAATTAAATAAGATCTGTTATTAAAATTCATTTTACCTGTTTCTTTTTACTTTTCCTAATGAGGCTACTGGAAAAGTTAAAGGCTACATATGTGGCTCACATCATGTTTCTAGAGGTCGAAGCTGTTGTCGATAATAATTATTTCTATGCAAATGGTTTATTGTCTGCCTCCTCATACTAGAATGTTCCCTGCTGCGTCCTCAGCTAGCACACCACCTGGCACTTGGTAACGGATCATTGTCAAATGGGAGAATGGATGAATGAAGTCTGCTAGGGGCCCCGGCACAGCAAATAACCCCACTCCTTCCCCAGACCCCACTCACCCTCTCGGTTGGCATCTGCTTCGTGTTCCTGGAGGGTCTCAACGGAGTCATCCCATCCCACGCCAGGTCCTGGGAGGCACAAGGCAGCCACTAGGCCCCCGAGGCCAATGCAGAGGTGGGCAGGACTTGCAGGAGACAGAGGGGACAGGAAGGAAGCTCCCTCCCCCAAGGGGCTGGTGGGTCCATGGAGAGTTGAGGGGCTAGCAGGGACAGGGACCCTTGTCCCTCACCTTTGCCATGGGAGCTTGGTGCCCCCTGGGGACCTGGACGGCGCTGTCGGAATCGCTGTCGAGGGGTGTCCCCCGGGCTGAAGGACTCCGAGCTTCGCCCCGCAGGGAACCTTGAGCTGAGTTTCCGCCGCTGCCCCCCTGCCAGGGTCTCCTCTCGCAGGCAGAGGGAGCTCTGGGCCCGGCGCATGGGTGCCGGTGAAGGGGGCCCTGCAAGAGGCACATGCAGGCAGGGTGTCAGAGAAGGGCAGGTGGGGGCTGGTCGCAGCGGAGGGGCCAGCAGATGAAGCTGCACAGAGCCGGGGAGGGGAGAAGCAGAGGTGGGGACCAGGCAAATGAGGCTGGGTGGGCCCTGGGATGGCTCTGACACTAGCTCATTGTGTGACCTTGGGCACAGAATATCCCCTCCCTGGGCCTCAGTTTCCTCATCTGCTATCTAGAATAAATGACCTCTCACTAGAGTCCCCTGCTACTCTGAGGTCCTAGGCGCCACTGCGGATGGGGTAGGCTGGGTAGCTGGCAAGGAGGCAGCAGGGAGGTGCCAGCATCTGGGCAGGTTGGGGAAGCGTCAGGGAAGGTGGGGAGGTGGGGGCAGGTGTGCAGGCTAGGCAGTGAGTCAGGAGCTAAGGTGGGGTTGGGGGGTGTCGGGAAGGGACCATCCTGGTCACCTGGCCCCCAGACCCACCTGTCCCATCTGCCTCCCTGCCCTCGGGGAGCTCCGTCTCCGGGGGGCCCCCCAGGCTCTCGGTGCTGCCAGCCCCATCGGCCCCCAGGCGCGGCCCCCCATGGGGGCCCCCCTCCCTCCAGGGCCGCATCAGCCTCTTCACCTTGTCTGCCAGCCAGCTGCCCTTCCTGGGGGCAAGAGGGCACAAGAGGGAGTAAGGACAGGGAGGAAGGAGAGAGAGGAAGGTCATATCGGGGATGGCAAAGGCCAGGCCAACCCTCACTGGGGCCAGGACGTGAGCTGGGCCGGGGTCAGAGGGCAGGGCAGGGCTTGGCAGGATGCCTGGCCCAATGTGGATAGGGCCACTCACTTGGTCCGGGGCAGGGGCCCAGGCTCCAACACGCGGTACTGATCCATGATCTTCTCCACCAGCTTCTGCTTCTCGCGGCGCAGGGCGTTAAGCTGGTCCCTGGCAGGAGGGGGAGGGGAAGGGTGGGCATGAGGCTGGGGGAGGCCTAGCACGGGACCGCCAAAGAGGAGTGCAGGCCCACCGGGCTCCTGGCAGTGGGCTCACAGGTACTCGCGCTGCTCGCGGTGCAGGTGGTCCCGGCTCTCCAGGCTGCGCTCCAGGAGCTCCCTGTTCTCCCGGCTCAGGGCCTGCACTTCGGCCAGCAGCTGCCGGTTCTCCTCTTCCTGGGCGCTCCGCAGCT